ATGACATGTCCCATTGCTACAGAAAACAGCACATCACAACTTGAGCTGTACAGCATTGAAGGCAATTCGCCTCTACATAAACACGAGGTGGGTTGTTTGCTTGTTTGTTTGTTTGTTTGCAACAAGACTTGTACTCACAGGAGTCCAGGAAGTCTTGTAAGCCTAGTTTTTACAGGCTTTTCATGATACCCATTTAAAAAGACTTGAAATGAAAAGAAAAAACCCACACAAAACCATCCCAGCCTGCTCTAGACTCTGAAGAAGCTTTACAGAATTCTATAACCCAACACTTCCCACTTGCCTAAACAAAGTAAGTCAAACACCAAGACACAAGGTATTATCCAGCACTTTCCATGCTAAGAATTAAAGGTTATACTTACTAAAATTTGGATCTGCTGCTTTTAACTTTGAGAGACACTCCTCAATACCTCCAAGGCTCTCATTATTGGCCCAGGTTGCGTACTGTAAGAGAGACAGAGAGAGGGTCGAGGAATCCCCAATAATATTGGGCTTCTTTTCGTTCTCCCACACATGCAAAATCCAAAAGTAAGCAAGACAAATGAATAAAAGACGAACTCTGGATTCAGATAGGATTAGCATGGTAGGAAAACAGAAAAACTGTTTGGCCACCAGCAGAGCTAATAACCATGGATTTCTATGTGGTTTATGTCGACTGGTTGATTCTCCTGTCAAGTAGGACGAGCACACTGGCTGACGTTTTCCCCACAGCTGCAGCATCCGGCATAGCCCTCTGCTACAAGGGTTTTCTGCTGCCTGCTAACGGCTGAACTCCTGTAGCAGCCTGATTGTGAGGCTCTCCCAGCTGCTAAGAAATTTAAACATCAACTACAGCAAAGACTGTTCCATGCATGAGTCCCTTCAAACCACATTTTATTACACTTTCTGGTCATACCTGGGTCAGCGCAGCATCAAATAGTTTACAGGCTTCATTGCTAGTAGTGGACAGGACAAGTCCAGCATCCCGCCAGGCCTGCACAACAAACAAACACAAACCCGCTCATTTTACACACTCGTTTTCCAGACTAAGCCAACAGATTTTCAAATTGACGGTATTCTGATATTTTTGTCAACTATGCTCTTTTTTAAAAAAGAGAACAGCTGGAAGGACAATGTGAGCAGATAGACAAACCTTTTGTGTTTGTTCTAGTTACACCTGAAGTTTCAGTAAGCTGGGGTTAACAGTGGGAATAACGAAGCAACAAATTATGAAGTGTAATAGAAGATCTTGATGAACTACACATCTCATTATGAGAGACCCATTCTTAATTCATTATAACTCAACTTTTGGCTGGTCCCTCTGCTGCAGACACACCTCGTGTGAAGTAGAGACATAGTAAAATAAAATCCTGCTTTTTTATAACTGAAATCAATACCTTAAGTAACTTGTAGGTCAAACAGCCCGACAGAGCAAATCCACCAAGTTACTGGAGCTCAGCCAACAAAGAATTTGGACCACTGACTTGTACACGAGCCTTACGAAAGGGAAGAACACAGGCATTTGATACAGCTAAAATGCAAAACAGAATCAGGCTGCCATAGTTTCTTAACAAGCTATGTAACACTGACTGAGGTGCTACATCTCCTGGCTAGCTGCTGGAGAATGAAAAGAATTTATTAGACAGATGTGCAGTTTACTCAATGGCGGAATTAAGCTGCAGCAACTATAGCATCCTGGTTCATGGTTGTCTCCATGACTGCTCTCTTAAGTAATTCAAGCAACAAAATGAAAAATCCAACGCGTATTTCAAAATGCCTAACTTATTCATGTGGGTGCCTCCAGCAAACAGGCATGTAATCTCTAGTTGCTTGCAGGCCTTTTCCCCCACGCAGGATGGCCACGAAACCACAAAGCCTGTCATCTCACAAGTTGAGGTGCCTCCCATGGCAACTTATTCATATATTTTTCATAACATTTGGATTTATTTCTACTAATCACTCTCCATTCAGCATTTCTATACTGCACCCATCACTGCCTCTAAGACCATAGGCTTCTCAAGCACAGACTTACATTCAGCACACCATATATATTCTTGCTTAAGCATACACACATTTGAGGAGCTGCCCCAATCACCTCAGCATCACTTTTATTCCAGTACACAGAACATTCAGGATAGACATAAAAAAAAGACCCGAGGCAAGCCAATTCAGATTCCTCCTAATGGGGGATTAGTCCTTGCAGATGCTGCAAGAATTCAGTTTGTCGCATTTTACACTTTCGGGTATTTCCTGGTTTTAATGACCCAACTGTCAAAAATTTTAAGTAACCAGGCAAAGACATCTTTGCTAATAGTATCCTAAAGCTTTGCCACTGTGATTGGATTAAAGGCTCACATTCCAGCAGCTCAAGCACTTGCATATTCAATTACAAGCCTGAAAGACTAGACTGGAATGTAAAATTACAATTTTTCTTTACAATCCATGCTGTATCCAGAAACGGCGTAAAGAGAAACGTCAAGAGGGTAGCAAAGTTAGGCCTGCTACTTACAGGCTACCTTTCAAGGTGCCCGGCAAAATAGGCCACAAACCACTTTCCTCACCATTTGTCAAAAAAGCTCTGTTTAAAGCAGCTCTATGCCACTGCCTGTTTTGCACAACAGCTCAAGGTACTTGCCAAGTAGAAAGCTTCATCCCATTTTGAGGAGAGCTGTTAATACTAAGATTCACTGGAATGAAAACGTGAAAGCATAAGAAAAAAACGCAGAACTAAGGTTAGTAAAAAAAGGCCTGCATCCATCACTAAGGACACTGATGAGCTAGCTGAGGTACATGCTGTTTCCATCCACTCCAGAAAGCCTCTGCTCTGCTAAGGCTACAGCCTAGGTAACTCACCCCTCACTGGAAGACTCCCATTCTGGCAACAGGAGGATGGCAGCAAGGCTGCATCACGTCATGTATGCCACTACTCCTCCTGTTAGCGTGACAGGACTGCAGGGAAGAACCAGCCCATAACAGCTGCCAACTCTTAAAAGACATAAAAGATCTGCCCTAAACCTAATCTGTTGCTGCCAACCAAGAACCAAACTGCTACGGGGAGCACAGAAGAGCCAGCACCCCCCATCCTCTGCGACGCACACGACACTCTGGTCCTGCCCAGACTACTTGGGACACTCATGTCTTGGGGCTTGTCTGTACTCAGGTATCAGACTGTAACTGAAGAAATCCATGAGAGAGGGAGTGCCAGTAGGTAAAAATCAGCCTGGAGAGTTTGTAAAACAATTATCACCTCCCATTTCCATAGAGGCTGCCTTTGAGTTCCGTTACACTAATTTCCCACAACCTTCCCCTCTAACTCCAGAAGAGACTCTTCTCTGTGGTGCTTCTTCAAGGAGAGTGCCACGGCTTTGGCTCTTCTTACTGCTTCTTGGCGAGACCAAAGCGTTGCCCTTTCTCCTGAGTTTAGTCACATGATCTGGCGATTGTTTACTTGTATTTTTGTTCCTGCTAGAATCCCAGCTGGCTCTGAGGAATCTCTGCTCTTTGCGGGTTGCTGTCAGCACACCCTCTATTACTCGAGTGGCAGCTCTCCAGAGCTCTGGAGCTCATGAACCTATGACACTCAGAAGATCTTCAAAACTTTTTTTACCTCCCCCTGCCTAATTAACGAAGAAACAACAAGAGGAGTGACAGAACAAACTCCATCGGGAAGAAAGCACGCAAATGACTAATCAGTAACTAACTCCTGCAGGCAGGTTTTGAACCCTTGGACTTGAAGCTGGTTTAGAGTTAAAAGGCGGCCTGACCCGCTTTTGAGGCCCACAGAAAGGGCAGGCGAGTGCCCGTGGGGCCAGTCTGCACCACCACCAAGACCCAGAGATATTCAGACACGAATTTGCTTCCCCCGCGGGAGGGAAGGGTGCAGCGACGCGTCCCCGTTTTCAGATCCCAACCCACCCTGAGCGTAACGTTACTGGGGGCGAAGGGAGACGAGCTCCAAGAGAGGCCTCACCACACCGGGTCTGGCTCTCCGCGCCCTCGCGTCAGCCGCAGCCGGCCCAGCTCAGCTCCCCTCCCGCCAAACACCCAGGCCCTGCCAGTAGCCCCCAGCCCGGCTCTCGGGCGGGCCCGGGGCCTCCCCAAGGCCACACGGGAGAACACCGCCGGCCCCAAGGGCCGCCCAC